TGCTGGAAATTGAACCAGAGTCTGCTGGAAGAGTAGTCAGTGTTCTTAACCCCTGAATCAACTCTCCAAAGGCAATCATTTTAATTTAATTTAAATTAATCACTTTCATTTGATTACAAGATGGGATGAAGGAGAATTTTTCTTGCTTCCTCTTTCAGTGATGGAGATAGAGCCCATTGTTTAAAGAATTCAAGACAAGCGCTCTACCCTAATTTTGAGCCTCATTCCAGTGCAATATTCTGGGCTTTAAATTTTCCCTTTTTTCTAATGACTTTTATTGGACCGGCTTAAAATTATATACCATAGTCTGAGGCCAGACACATGCAGCTTTGTGGGATGTTGATGGTGGTCACAGGACAATGTCCTCTGAGTGAGAATCTCTCTGTTATGGTTTGGTGGCTTATATCTTCTCTAGGCAGGGAAAATATTTTCAGAGGTGGTGGGATCTTCAGGAGGTAGGGGCTTAGCTGGCAAAAGAGGGTCACTAGCGTCGGGTTCTGAAGAGGATAACCTTGGCCCACTTCTAATGCCAGCTCTCCTCTGATTCCTACTCTGTCACCTTATTTACTACCATTATCATGAACCCTGCTACGATGGACCACAAACCTCTGAGATCCTGCATCCAAACATACCTTTCTTCCCATCCTTTGGGGCTATCAGACTCTCGGTTACAGAGACAAAGAAAGACAAATATACTCACTTTTCTTTCATTCCAAGTTGACGAGGGAAGAAAATCAGAGTATTGATTGAGTCTAGTCAACTCACCACTTCCCTCCTCTTCTGCTTGTGGTATCTGGATGTGGAATATCCCTGATAGGTTTAGTGTCTGCACACTTATTTCCCTGCTGGTGGTTTGACTGGGAAGTTTGTTAAACCTTTAAAAGAAAGAGTCTTTCTTGAGAAAGTATGTCATTGGCTGCAGGTATTGAAGCTTTATCGCCTGACCTGACTTCCTGTTCTTTCTCTGCTTCCTGACTGTAGCTGCCAAGTAAGCAGTCCACTTCCCACTCCTGGTGCTCAGTCCGTCCTCACTGTGATGGATTATACCCCCATGTACACCAACCCTTTCTCCCATAAGTTGCTTTTGACAGGGCAGCAACAGAGCAGTAGCTAAGATGGGGCTCTATGATATATCTGGCAATCCTTGGCATTGGTGTTTTGGCTGTGTATCCTGAGGTCTTCAGGGGAGAGAGGCCAGAGCAACGTGATGAACCAACTCCTCTGAGCAGAGTTATAACTAGGATCTGACCACCATGATGTGGCCCCCATGGAAGTGTTCCAAAGAGAGTAAGATTCTCCCTCACCAGGACAGGCAGGAACCACTTCCTACCTGGAAAGCAGGCTGCCCTACTTCTAATAAGGACTGACATGGGTTGGCAGGAAATGAGCTGACATAGCAGGTCAGAAGCAAAGACGGCTGCAGGTTGAGAGATCGGAATCTGTCCCATTTCCTCCTGAAAATAAACCCAGAAGCTGAGCGTGAAGATGACTAATCAAGTGTCTCTCTGTGCGTGTCTGTGGCTAGAGCTCTGTTAACCACAGTTAGTTACTCTGTTAGAGGGCCGAGTTTCACACCTGACAGAGGGATCGCATGGAATCGTCCCCAAATGCTGTGCCCATGCTTCCGCTGCAGCTTCCTTAACCCCAAAGAAAGGACTGGAGAACCGTTTTAAAGAAAATAAGAAAACTCATACATGCCTCTAACTTTAAGGGTGGTAAGTATAAATATGAGTCATAGCAATGCTCTGGTGTCGGACCAGGAGGCAGCAGAACACAGAGGTTAAAGGGGAAGGTTCTGCAACCAGTTGGTCTGGGTTCAAATCCTGGTCAATCACTTACTAGTCAAGCATCGAGAAATTACTTTCCGTGTGCCTTGGTTTCTCCAGCAATAAATTGGGGAGGGGAGGTGATACTAATTCTGTGTAACAGGGATGCTGTGATAGACAAGAGCGTGGAGATATAAAGTATTTAGCCAATGGTGTCTAGTACTGAGGCAGGATAAAAAAAAAGCATATGCATGAATAAACCCTCATTTTAAAAGTACAGCCATTCCCTACTACACAAAACATTAGCAAGAGATTCAAAAAAGTCTGACTTCTTTGTCCCTTGGGGAAAGAGATGCAAGATAACGGGGTGTTTTTTCTGTGAAGGCTTCTAGATAGCCTTGTCACCTTTCCTGGGTCTCTATGAAGGATGCTTAGTGTCATACACTTTAAGAAGGTTAAGAGCACAGTCGAAGCGCAGACCCCAGGGCTCTTCACCACGTCCTCTGCCAGAGCAGTAAGGACCACGGGTGTTGGTGCTTGAGCAACAGGAAAGGAGGCTTAGAGGAGCGAGCCTCAGACCTGTCTCGCTCACTTTCAGTAAGCACCAGTCTTGAAAGCAAAACTTGTCTTCCTATACAGGATGCTTTGGCAAGGGATTTGTCTAGTTTCCCAAGCGAAACACCGAGGGATATTACAAAGAAACAGTAGTGATGTGGGATTCCCTTCTGTATGCTTTAATACCATTGGCTAATAAAGAAACTGTCTTGGGACTGCGCAGGGAATAGAGGTAGGCCGGGAAATGCTGGGAGGAAAAAGGCGGAGTAAGAGAGAAGCCATGTAGCCCCGCTGGAGACAGACCCTGAAACTTTGCCGGTAAGCCCCTGACACATGGCTATACACAGATTAATAGAAATGGGTTAAATTACTATGTAAGAATAAGGCAGTAAGAACCCAATAAGAAGCTAGAGCTAATGGGCCAAGCAGTGATTGAATTAATACCATTTCTGTGTGATTATTTCGGGGCTAAGCAGCCTGGAATCAACAAGTAGCCCCCCTCCTCCTACAAAGCTGAGGTATTTTGACCTAGATGATATGGAAACACTTGAGCTTCCTGAGGCTTTAGCTGGGGCCTGTTTGGAGTGAAGGGGCATGCACACCTGGGACAGTTACAAGTCTTTCACTTTTTCCAAGGATGTTTTCCACTATCTTTGCTGCCCTCCTTATGATGCAGGTCCTGCCTGCAGAACTGCGTGGCTTCATGAGGTTTGCTGCTCAACGCAGATATCCCATTCTGTACCGATGTGAAAACAACACGTGAATATTCTTCCGCCTTTAGCAGTCTAGATGAATGATCAGAGCAAATGAGGACATCTGTAAAGAGGTAAAATCAGCAACAGCCATGCGCCACACCCAGGATTTCAGGAAGAAGTGCTTTCCCGTATCATTTTAACATCCTTCCCTCTAAAATAACTTTATCAGGCTCTCTATACAGGTAGTACTTTTCCAGCCACATATAAGACCATTTTTTATCCACTGAAGTCATATTTTAAAAACTTTTAGTCTGGTTTTCAAGCCATATTGACACTTGCTACTCAATTTAGACTAAGCGTATCTCCACAGACCTTACTGTGCTTCTCGAGGGCGTGCATACCATCGTAGAACTCCGTCAATGATTCTATGGAGCATTTGGTTTGTCAGGGTCTAAATTCAAGTGGCAGGAAAGCTGAAAGCGAATGTGCCAGCAGGCTACCATTCCATCACTGAAAGAGAAGCAGAGAGGAGGGTAGAAAAAAAGGAAAGGAAGGGATGGAAGGGGAGGAAAGGACCTGGGCTAGCAACAGAATGGGTGAAGTACACGGTTTCCTCAGCAGTCAGGCAGGGATTCGTGGCTCCCTAGTAGGGAATGGAGGACTAGACGACAGCTCAGAGGAGGTACATAGAGCTGAGTATAGATCCCCAGATCACATGGTAAAGCTGAGCATTCCTGCAACTACAGTTCTTGGGGGGACAGAGATAGAAGGGTCCTCAGGCTCACTGGCCAGGTGAGCCAAGATAGGGAACTCCAGAATACCCAATGAAAGACCCTGTTCCCAAAACAAGATGAAGAGTCACTGACAAGAGTACCTGATTTATGTCTGGCCTCTGCATGAACATACCACACCACACACACACACACACACACACACACACACACACACATTTGCACATGCAGATATACATGGTTATTTATGCCCATAGACACAATTTTAAAAGTACAAAAGAAAGAAAGAAGGCATCTGATAAGTTATGGTCAAAGGTACTAGTGAGCTACTTGGGAGCCCATAGAATGAGGAGCCTCCATCTTCAGTGAGTCAGAGCACAATTCATACTTAAAACTGAAAAATACGGCTCAGACAATGAAGTGTACTGAGTTGAGTATGTTCAACTTTCAAGGATTATGTTGGGTTTATGCCACATTAGCAGCTGTGAGCTTTGGTCAAAGAGTTCTTTTCCAAGGGAGAAGGTTGCCTAGTATTGGAGAGTCTCTGATCAAAAGAATAATCAAGAAAATAAATGTTATTTCAATAAAGTTACCAACACACTTATTAAGGATAATCATTGAGCTGGTTCTGTAAAATGAGGAAATGATCAAAACCGGGACTCATTGGCATTTTCTTCCAGGGTTGGAATCCCACCTTTCCTACAGCTGTGTTTCTTTTTTCCATTATGAGTCGCAGACTTCTTGATTTCTTATCTGTTTTGCAGATTTGATTCCCGAGGCAGCAGAGCACTGACCAGAGGATGGTTCACTCATTTTCATGGCGACCAGTGAGAGGCTCAATTATAGTTCAGACCTATGTATAAATACCAAGCTTAGAGCTATGGAGTAGGTCATCCTGAGGTTCATCAGTAGTTAGTAAATGTCCAATTCATATTCTTTCCAAAAAATGGAGTATATTAGTAGAAAGAATATAACATTTTCAGAAGCAATGCTGTAGACTCAAATTGTCAATGGTGTATGAACCTGGAGGATTCACTTTCCTCCCTGGCCTCCTTATTATGGGTTCCTCCTTATGGCTGGTGGTCCAGCCTTTTGTCACAAACGGGGAAGATATGTCTAGAATTCATACGGTATTAATTCCACAATTCTGTCGTTATTAGTGTTCTTTTTTTGAACAACCGAGCTAAAGAAATGCTGGCTAGAGTTCAGAATGCGGTGGCAGGGGCTGTGTGGATTGAGAGTTCAACTAGACACAAGCAGTTCAGCTTCCATTTACCGCTGTGAGACAGTGGGCAAGTTCCTTGTCTCCTGTGTGTCTCATTATCCATTTATCAACACAGAATATTTGCCGAGGTCTTCCTGTACTAGGCTCGTGCAGACAGCCTCAGATGAAAGGCTGGCAAACAGATCAAAGATGCTGTTGGTAGACACAATAAAAATTCATGTAGAAAAAAGGCAGAGGTCCACAGGCTCTATTCCTAAGAAACCGAAAAAGGAGAAGAAAGGAGAGGAACCTCACCCGGACACAACAAATGGGTAACAGACACTTTCTAGAGCCAATGACAGAGGCACCATTGACGGTGATGAGAAAGGTGGAGAGACAGACAAAAGTAAACAACGCGGGGCTCGGCTCTGCTCTGCCAGCTGGGGAAATAGTCATAGCAACAGGAAAGGTGGACTGAGACAACTGCTGTTCTGCTCTTATGACTTATTCATTTTAGCAGGGGAATGCAGGTGCAACAGCTGGGCAGAGCTGTGAAGACGTCTGAAGGATGTACCGTCGGGGACATGAAATTCGGAAGTCACATACAGCTTCCCAGTCCAGACTCAACTCTACTCTGAAGGATGAAGACAGCTCTCATTTATTCTCTGTGCTAGGCACAAGGGATGCATATGAGAAAGTAAGCCACCCTTCTCCTCCTATACCTCATCACCTAGTGAAGAATACGGTGTTAGTAAATACTTATACATAATAGAAAGACGCATGCATTTTTTTCTTTCTTCCCTTTCAGTTGTCAGTTTTTCTTAGTGTATCCTTGTTGCCTGGGAGAAGTGAGAAAGGAGAGGAAAGGAGAGGAGAGGAGAGGAGAGGAGAGGAGAGAAATGTGGGGCACTCTGCTCTCTAGGATACCGTATAGCCCACCTTTCCCATCCAGGTTCTTACGGGGAGCAGGAGATTAGCGCGAGAGATGGTTGGCGTGCCTGCCCTGTCTTCTCCTCTCAGAGCAGAATATAAATGAGATATAAGAGCAAATGAAAGGAAGATCCAGAGAGTGGGTTCTGAGGGCTGTTAGCAGCCTTAAGAGTCAAGGACCTGCTTCTCTGGGCATAATTCTAGAATTTGCAGTGAGGTCATTTACGGTAAAGTGATGAAGACAGTGGCATTCAAGGAGATAAAACTGGTATCAGTTTTTGTCGTAAGCCCCAGTAAATGAGCAAGAATATATGCTTTTAGAAATCTTAAAATAGTTGCTGCATTAGTCAAGATAAGCCAAGCGTTTGCTGTGAAGCTCTACTCCAAAGTGAGCTCTAGGTTTCTCAGTTCAGATGGTTGGGTTGGAGAAGGCATGTGGTTCTCTGGTTGTGTTGGCGCTCTGAGAGGAAGGATTTCAGGAGGGCACAGTGAAAAGGTGGTTCTCTGGTTGTGTTGGCGCTCTGAGAGGAAGGATTTCAGGAGGGCACAGTGAAAAGGTGGCCATGTGTCAGCAACTGACCTGCCTAACAGATTGGTCTAGAACCGCCCAGCCTCTGGTGGAAAATTCTGTTGTTTAAAACTCCCAGTCAATGTTCCTTTGTTATGACAGTTGTGCTGACCATTACAGTCATGCTGCTATAACAAACAGCCCTTCAGGTCTCAGAGGCTTTACATGACAAAGGGATAATCACTACTAGAGCAAATGTAGCTGCAATCCCAGGTAATTCTACAGAGCAAGCTCCTCAAAAAGAAGTCTCAGGAATGCAAGGTGGCGCCCTGAAGGTGACCATCTCAGTATGTGACAGGGGAGAGAGGTAGGTAGAGACTGAAAGGTTCAACCAATCAGTTTTCAGAGCTTTCTGTAAGAGGTTGCTCTGGGACAGACTTCAATTAATCTAAGATTTTGGAAGGTCAAATAGAATCCACCGTGAATAAAAGGATAACATACTTCACCGACTTCCTGTGAGACATATATAACAGCTCTCTCTCTCTCTCTCTCTCTCTCTCTCTCTCTCTCTCTCTCTCTCTCTCTCTCTCTCGTGTGTGTGTGTGTGTGTGATTCCCATATGTATGGACAGAATGTATGTTATGCACAGGGGAGTCCTCATGTGTGTACAAGTCAAACTTTGATACCAATTGATGTCTGGTGTCTTCCTAGCGTTCTCCCCGCTATATATTGAGGCAACATCTCTGGATAAACTCAGAGCCCACTATTCTGGCTTGCTGGCCATGCTGATTGACCTAGCGATTGCCTCTCTCTGCCTCCATACTGGCCATGCCCACCAAGTTTTACATGAGAACTTCAGAACTGAACTCTGGTCCTCATACGTGTGTGTCAAGCACTTTGCCCACTGATCCATCTCTCCAACCCCAGAATCTCACTCTTTCTCTCATCCACTCCCCTGTCACACACTCATGAAAGTAAAGAAATAATAAAATCATAGACAGTCACATATTCCTCCTTCCTCTCACTTATGTTGCCAAGTGGACTATGTTGATCTTTTTTAAAAGTCAAAATCTCTTTTAAGATATATGTGTTATCTGTATACTCAATAATTGCTACACTTCTGCAAACTGGTTTACAAAATAATTATAAACAGCAAATCGAATTGCCTCTTACAGTTGGAGGCAGACAGGAAGATGGTGTTAATTTGCTGCACTGTTGCTCCATGCATTTCTGGGGCCATTAAAATAAATGTTACATCACAACAGCCCTCAGCATCCTGAGACAGGAAATTCATGACCCCAAAAGTTCCCAATACTATTGTCTACTGTTCACATCGTATCAGCTTCATTTTGAGCCTCTCTGATCATGGAGACCATGAGTTTTGTGTCAATGGAGTTTGGACTGACAAACAAAGCATGTGATTCTGAGACTATGGGCTCTTGGGTCCCCATTAGTATGAGGTAATCAAGTCTCTGCTCTTGAAGCAAAATTAAAAATCAAGAGAGAATGTCCCTCTTTTCATTTCCTCTGGGTCTATGATGTTTAGAATTAAACTGCTATCTTTAATGATGAATGGGCCTAAAAGAAATAGAAAACTCACGTTAGAATCTCCTATTGCTCTCCTTTCTCTTAACTCTAATACCTCTTTTCCTAAGAACTGACAGGACAGAAGCCCATGGTGGAGCTGGAACTTGGCGGGAAGACTACATGCCTAATGTGATCCCAAGATAACTCAGGTAAAGTATACAGAATTTTCCACTTTTAACAAGGGTTGTTGAAGCCCAATTGCACAAAGTGACTGACCCCAAATCACAGACCCTATTACCTAAGCCAGTGTTTGCCCTATTTGTGTCCTTTTAATGTTGGTCCAAGCTAATGGTCAAGGATTCTGTTTGCATAATGTGTTTCAAAACACACAGGATTGGCAGACAAAGTACATGGGCAGTACTGAACTGACTCCATTGAAAAGTCCCACAGCTCTCAGGCATACAGTCAGAACTCAAGAGGCACAATGTGCTGCTATAGAAATCCATGAGGAGCCTGGAGTTCAGGCTGAGAGGCGGGTCCAGGGGTTGCTTTTCCATCACTGATACAAAACATCTGACAAATGCAAAGAAGGGAGAGCTTTATCCTGACTCGGTTAAGAAGGGCTGAACACTTCCTGGTGGGGAAGGTCTGGCAGAGTCCACGGTTCCAGGGGTGTGGTTAGAGTTTCTCACATCTGGGCAGAACAGGAAAAGGAGGAGAGAATGGTGGCGCTTTGCTTTTCCTTTTCATGCATCTGGAGACCCAAGCCGCAGGCTACTGTCACCCACATTCAAGATGGCTCTCCCAGCCTTAGTCTAACGTCTCAGGAAACACAGATCAACACAGAGGTGTGCATCCAGGCTAGCTGACAAGGAGACTGAACTGCAGCGAGTAGTAAGAGCTCTCAGGAAGAACTGGGGATACAACGGGGCCTATGTGATATCTTTCCCAAGTCGCATGCATTTAAGGATGAGGCTTCATAGAGGAAGAAATGTTTAGTAATTATTATTCATAGTTGTGTGATCCTGGGCTCTTTAGAAGAAATGTGCTCTACTATACTACTCATCTTAAAAATAACTAAGGAAATAGATAGCTGCTCGTATAAAACTCCAAGAACATGGAGCTGCCAATCGCTTACTTTGTTCTGAAATCCACATGGCAATAGCTGCAAAGTACCTGGGATCCACCTGGCCTTGAACTTGGATCCTTAAAAATGAACTGGAAGAAACATCTCAAAACACACTTTATAGAAATAAACTTGTGACATCATACCACTGGACCAGTCTGTGATGACAACGTAAACAGAAGTGCGGGGATGCCCAGGACAGTTGGGAAAACATGAGTTATCTGTGACTCTGGAGGATGTAAGCTTCTGCGGGAAAGCTCAGGGGTTCTGCTCTCCAAAACTGAACCCCAGCTTTGCGGCTTTAGATCACTACTGTCCTGTATACAACATTCTATAGAATGTAAATATCAGAGTTAGGGGGGAAAAAGCACTCATGGATGGAGAATAGCAATCAGTACATAGCTATGGGCATCTGAGCTGGGCTTCTGAAAAAGAGGAGACAGCAGAAGTCAGGAGAGAGACTTCCCCAGCAGCAGCCATCACCAAGGGATACAGTCTCTGGGCTGCCCCCCTCCCCCACTCATACCCAAGACTGGAAAAAACTCAGCTGTCAGCACGCTGTCACCAACATCTAGCGTACCAAGCTTCAGATGCTGATAAAAATAAACTGTGTGCACAAGCCAGAGTTATTAACACATTTAGGATGCTGGGGGAAAGCTTTCTCCTATTTGCATATGTCGATGACAACAAGAGTAAGCCCTTTGTGTGGTGCTCCAGGGTCCTGAGAAACCCAAGGGGGCCTAAGAAAGGAAGAGAAAAATTCGGGCTCAGTGACAAGCCTAAGTATCTCTCTCCATCTATCTTTTTCCCTTTGTATGATCCCTCCCCCCCCCACATATACTTAGACACACATGGACACATTCACCCATGTCTTAGGTCTCTTCATATGATGAAGATTAATGGAATCTAGCCTCTACCTTTCTTATGTGACCTGTGAGCTTCCCAAATTCCAGCTTCACCCCCTGTCTCTTACACTGGTGACTGAGCCCAGGGCCTCACATATGCCAGGCAAGCACTCCAACAACTGAATGATGTACTTAGCAACCAATATATTTTAGTAGGATGATAATATCTATGCAACCCATATCTAGATTAAAAAATAGAACATGACCAGCACCCAGATGCAAATACTTTGCTCCAGTGTTGTGAACTTCTCAGTTATAGTGGCATGAATTAATTTTGATAGATAATGTGCTTCCTGTACATTTATCTTTGCGTCTGACTTCTTTCAATGTCAAACTTACGATCTTCTTGGTTTCATGCAGTTGTTGCTTATTTAGTTCACTGCTGCATTTGTGGTATCATTCTAAAAGTGCAAATTCTCATTCAAATAATGGTGGAGCATTAGCAAATTGTCATTCTTTTGTCTCTTACTACATGGTGCTTCTGTGACTATTCATAAACATTTTTTGTAGAAACATGTATTTCTGAATGGAAAGATCTCCCATGCTCTTGGGTAGGTAGGATCAACATAATAAAAATGTTAATCCTACCAAAAACAATCTACAGATTCAATGCAATCCCCATCAAAATCCCAACACAATTCTTCACAGACCTCGAAAGAACAATACTCAGCTTCATATGGAAAAGAAAAAAAAAGAGCCAGCACAGCCAAAACAATCCTGTATAATAAAGGAACATTCAGAGACACCACCATCTCTGACATCAAGCTCTATTATAGAGCTACAGTAATGAAAACAGCTTGGAATTGGCATAAAAACAGACAGGTTGGCCAATGGAATCTAATTGAAGACCTAGATATTAATTTACACATCTATGAACACCTGACTTTTGACAAAGAAACTAAAATTATACAATGGAAAAAAGAAAGCATCTTCAACAAATGGTGCTGGCATAACTGGATGTCAACATGTAGAAAAAATGCAAATAGATCCATATGTTTCCTCATGCACAAAATTCAAGTCCAAATAGAATGAAGACCTCAATATAATTCTTACCACACTGACCTGATAGAAGAGAAAGTGAGAAGTAGCCTTCAATGCATGGGTACAATAGACCACTTCCTAAATATAAAACCAGTAGCACATACATTGAGAGCAACAATAAGTAAATTGGACCTCCTGAAACTGAGAAATTTCTGTAAAGCAAAGGACATAGCCAATAAGAGAAAAAGGCAGCCTACTGAATGGGAAAAGATCTTCACCAACCCCACATCAGACAGAAGATTGATCTCCAAAATATATAAGGAACTCAAGAAATTAGACATCAAAATTCCAAATAATCCAATTAAGAAGTGGGGTACAGAGCTAAACAGAGAATTCTCAACAGAAGAATCTCAAATGGTCAAAAGACTCTTAAGGAAATGTTGAACATCCTTAGCCATCAGAGAAATGCAAATCAAAACAACTTTGAGAAACCATCTTATATCTGTCAGAGTGGCTAATATCAAAAACACCAATAATAGCTTATGCTGGAGAGGATGTGGAGTAAGGGAAACTCTCATCCATTGCTGATGGGAAATGCGGTGACAGCTGTATGACTGGAGCAGACTGTGGGGCCACTAAGTGGCACCAGGATTTATCCCTACTGCTTGTACTGGCTTTATGGGAACCCATTCTCTTTGGATGAATATCTTGCTCAGCCTAGATATATAAGGGAGGGCCTTGGACCTTCCCCAAAGCAGTGTGCCTTACCCTCTCTGAGGAACAGATGGGGGTGGAGTGGGGGGTGGGGATAATGGAGGAGATGGGAGGAGGGGAGGTAGTGGGAACTAGGATTGGTATGTAAAATGAAAGAAGATAGTTTGTTTTCTTTTTTAAAAAAATGAAATGAAAAAAAGATACTAAAAAAAACCCATGTATTTCTGGTATATGTTTAATGAAGAAACACTACTGGGTCTTTGAGGAGGCAGAAAACCTACGTAGAGCTTTACCATCCAGCTTTACACCAGAGAGAGCTGAAGTTATTCTGTAGCCCCTCACTGGCATCTTCCATCTCAGCCATTCCTGAGGCTATGGTCTTATCAGGTGTTTGCTTTGTTTTCTATACAAGTGACTATTGAGTTGACTCTTTTATTCCTTATTAACTTGCAATAATTCATTTATCATTTTGTAAATGTGAATGTGTTGTGTGTGGGGGCACCCAAGTGTGGCAGTTGCTTTCGTCTATGTGTACCTAAGTGTGGCTGTGTGGAAGACGGGCAAAAGAAAAAGAAGATCAAGTGTCTTCCGCTCTCTTTCTCCAGTTATTTCATTTGTTTGTTTATCTGTCTTAGTTAGGGTTTCTATTGCTGTGAAGTGACACCATGACCACAGAAACTGTAATAAAAGAAAGCATGTAATTGGGGCTGGCTTACAGTTTTAGAGGTTTAGTTCGATATCATCACGGAGGGAAGCAAGGCCACATGCAAGCAGACATGGTGCTGGAGAGGCTGCTGAGCGTTCTACATCTTGATCCACGGGTCACAGAAAGTGAACTCTCTCATTGGGCCTAGCTTAAGCATATTTGTGAGACCCCAAAGCCAGCCTCCATGGTGACACACTTCCTCCAACAAAGCCACCTCTTCTCCAACAAGGCCACAAATCCTAGTAGTGCCTCTCCCTATGGGCCATGCATTCAAGCACACAAGTCCATGGGATCCATACCTACTCAGACCACCACAGAGGTCAGAGGACAGCTTGCAAGAGTCTCAATTCTCTCCTACCATGTGAGTTCTGGGGATCAAACTCAGATCACCAGTCTTTGTGGCAAGTGGCAAGTGGCAAGTGCCTTTACCCACTGAGTCACCTCCCCTGCCCCTTTTCACTTCATTTTCTTTTTAGACAGAATCTCTCACTGAACCAGGAGCTTACTGGTTGGGTAGGCTGGACAGTCAGTGAGCTCCAGGAGTTCACCTGTCTCTGTCTTCCTCAACTCCCTGGCACTGAAGCTCCAGGTGCCTGCTGTCGCTCCTGGCTTTTACTTAGAAAATAAAGCTCTGCCCAGCATATTTGGGAACAAATTGGTTGGTCTAAAGGATTTGGACAAAAAAAAATAATTTATACTACCAGACTTCCTCATTATAGACACCAATATGTCAGCGATTATAAAGTGAATTTAAATATTATTGCATAACACTAAAGAAACTTAAAATCAGCACAGATCAAATTACAAAACATACTGTTATGTGTAAGGATTCAAGTCCAGAAAAATGAAAAACGTGAATAAACATTCTGCATCTTAGAACTGACACGAGATGGTACGTTATAGCAGGTAACCTTTAAAGACATAGGCCTGAGACCCACAGTGCCCTTCACTCATGTCTCCCATGTTAAACGCATGCACCTCTTTATTTGAACTCTTTCTGGACTTTTTTTCCCTTACAGCTGTCTTCCAGAGGTCTGACCATTGCCATCCCTGCCACATGCTGGAACATGACCACAGTGTTTCCTGTTCACGTTTCCAGCTGCAGAAAGGCCTCAACGGTGCTTGTCTGCCATTGCTACTGCTGGCCAAGTCAGGGAGAGCCAATACCCACGGAGCCCTGGCAATTGTTTTTAAGAGACTTACTATAACCAGAGCTGTAGAGTTTTCAGGAAGCTGTGCCGGGTAGGGAGGGAAGTGGGAAGCAGCAACAGACATCGTGCACTAGAGGGTGCCAAAGTCCTGAGCAACGGAGTCTAGCCAGGAAGAATTTGTCTTCACCTTGAAGCCTCAAGAGAAGCACCATCAAGGAGTCTTGCGTCTTAGAGCTGGACTGGAAGGGGGCCATCAGCACTTTTGCTATCAGAGAGATGATTCCAAAACAATGAGCAGAGAAAGATCCATGCTGGTACTAGAAGCTTTCAAAGGCAAGGCCTCTGTGATTTTATTTTAATGACTATCCTAACAGCTACCTGTTTGTACAGTGTCTTAGAATTATACTTGCAGCTGTAAACATATTAAATCCTCCCAGCACGTCTAATGGGCTATTCACAGTTTATCAACAACCTAGGAGAAGTTAGGAAAGTTTAGGATTGTAAAGCTAGCAAGTGGCAGGACTGGGCTCAAATCCCAGAATCCAGCGGGCAGATATGCATGACTCTGCCTGCATCACGGGCCAGTGTTGCATGGAGAGATCTGTTGCCTTTTCTCTTCGCAGAAGGAAGCTGTGCTCCCCAGGCTTCCATGCTAAGCAACAGTGACGTTTAACACCGCTGACTAAAAAGTGTCCCAGTGCTCTCTGGAATCTGGCCCCACCCCTCACTGCAACTCTAGACTGTTTCTTTTTTTCTTTTTTTTTTTTTTTCAATGTATCTGCATGCTCATTTCTCCCTAGTTTTGATCCTGTTATGAGTTTTTGACTAAATATACCCCCCAACAAATGGGCCCTGTGGGCCAGAGTTCTAAACCCACAACTGTCAAAGGTGCTTCTTGGATTTCCGATCTCTTGGTGTCTCTATGTCCTGTTCCTAAGCCGTGGTAAAAGAACTGAAGGAAATCTGGAAGGTGAGGTTGGGTGACCTGGCCCTGCATTTGAACTAATTCATTTCACAAAATGCCAGCCCCGCTGACACGGGCTATTAGAACAGCGACTGGGTTTTACAAGAACCAGACAACGTCAGACTCTGGGATTGTTATGGTAAAAACAAACAAACAACAAAAACCAAAACAACAACAACAAAGCCCCGAGTGTATTTAAATATCCCCTCTTGTCTTCTTTAAGTATTGGAAAATTCTTAAATATATTCACTACTAATGAGGTTCGGGTTATTTTTAATCTGATTCCCCTTTCTGGTTCCCACAGCAACTTTTTCAGTGAGGTTTTCAGACCTCACTTCAATGTTTCCTCATTTTGGGGAGACAGAGAACCCCTCCCTAAGATAGCTATGATAGTTAATATTGCTTGACAATTTGACAGGAATCACCTTGGGGGCAAACCTCTGGGCACATCTATGGGGCAGCCTGTAGACTGAACTGATAGAGGTGTGACCTACCCTAAATATGGGTGGCATGACTAAGCGGGCTGAAGTCCTAGGCTGCATGAAAAAGAAGAAGGCTGGGCAAACCACAGCATCCATCTCTCTGCGTCCTGACTGTGGGCACAGTGTGACCAGCCACCCCAAGATTTTCTGCCATGACCCCGCTGCCACCATAATGAACTGTCTTTGCAAACTGTGATCCAAAATAAACCCTCCCTTTATTAACTTTCTCTTATCAGATATTTTGCAACAGCAACAGGGAAAGTAATTGATATTAAGACGCTTTCTAAAAAAAGCTACCGGTGCATTAGATTATGGTAAATTAAATCATATTTTCAGGGTACTTGCAAGGGAACATTCTGCTACAAGGAACCTTATGATTATAAAGTGAAGGAGACTTCTTTCTATTTATCCTTAAGTTCCAGTCTATACACAGGCTTTTCTTAAGATGTTTGGTCTGAATAGACTCTTTGTGGACACCTTAGCTCTAGAAAAAAGCCAACTGCTTCTGCGACAGGAGTATAAGACGATGACAAAGCGTGAGAGCTGCTGAATGTGGGTGCTGTGGAATCAGATGGCTTCCACCCCAACCCTAGATCCTCTCCTTGTCTGCCATGAAAAGCTGACCAAGGGTCTCCGTTTCCTTGTCTATAGAATAGGAGGAAAATAGGCTGTACCCCTGAAGTGGTTGCTCTGAAGTGAGTACATTTATATATGTAAAGCAATTTCAACAACGCTAACACTGAACACTGAATAAATTATATATAATTATATATGCCTATAATATATATGCATGCCATTAGTCACCTTTAGAGTGACAGTCACAATTTTTATTCCACATTTTTCTAGAAGAAGGAGATGGTGGACAGTACCTTGAGGCTGCTGCCCTTAGAAGGTACAAACAGAATCTGAAATAAAAAGAAGCGGCTTCTCCGAATGCCTGGGCATAGCATTTCTCCCAGGCATCCTGCTGTGGCGCTGAACCCAGGCGAGGGCTGGCAAAGCAACGCTGCACGATGTTGTTCAGCCGCAAGGTCAGGCTTCACAAACTGCCTGAGTTGTAAGGCCTTTCCAGAGATGCTTAGAAAAGAAGTCCTACTGGCTATACCTGCGGCGGATGGCAAAGTCTCCCCTCAAGACACCACATCCACAAGCTCCACCCCCAACTCCTGTGGTCGAAACTGGTGGCCAGTGATCAAATGAAACTGCTTCCTGAAAACACTCCAGGTTTCTGAGATATGACAGTCAGCCATCCCAGGAAAGGTCAGAATTGGACCCCCTCTGCCCCCATTGCACCTCATCTTCCTCCTTTCGGCGCCAGTTTTAACACAGAGCTGAGGATAGCAACTCGGTTGTAACCAGGACCTTTCCTACTGCTCAGAGAACTGGTAGTTAGATCTCAAGACTGAAGACAGAATGGGTAGATTGTAAACATGACCTCCAGTTATGGCAGACACCTTGGTTAATTATAATAGAGCCAACCCTGTCTTGTAAATACCAACAGCTGAGTACCTATATTTAGCCAGTTTAAAGTCTGAAGGACTGGAGAGAGAGACTGTGGAAATCGTTGACATCAGCTTGTAGGCTACCTCCAAACTGAGAAACCAATAGTTGAACCATGGGTACCAATGGGGATTGAAGTTTCCTCATCCTTAGGTTGGATATCACCAAAGGGAGACTTGTTTTGCCTCTGGGACGATCTGGAAGGAAGAAATATGGCATAAGATAGGGTGAGGTGGAGGTGTCACATCCTGTGCACCCACTCTTGGTGTCAGCAGCATGCGTAAGTTTTAACAACCGTCCAGGGTCTCACAGATTTATAGATTGTCATCTCACTGCAATCTCCAACCTCATCTCTCACCACCTCCCACTGAAACTCTTCTTCTCAGGGAATCCCTTTACTTTCATGGTGTGTGTGTGTGTGTGTGTGTGTGTGTGTGTGTGTGTGTGTGTGTGTGAGAGAGAGAGAGAGAGAGAGAGAGAGAGAGAGAGAGAGAGAGAGAGAGAGAGAATCATTTAGCTTGAGTTTCTAGCATGAGTGTGGGTGGCAAGGGCATCCATCAGTAGAGCAAGGGCAATACATCAATAGCTATACCACTGGGAAAAAATAAAAATAAGACTCTCCTCTCTGAACAACTGTTAACTTCCATTAGTCCCTCAGGAAGGGGTGATGCTCCCATAACCCCTCCCCCATCCAAGAAGAAATGCTGATGGGTCCAGTCTTGGGTGGGTCTCGTGCAGGGAGCCACAGCTGCAATGAGAGTGTGAGCGCCCTGACTATGTCATTCCAGAGCGTGATTCCTTTCTTTGTCCCTGCGTATCTCCCGGCTCGTATGTTCTTTCTGCTTCCTTTTCCATCATGTTCCCTGAGCCTTGAACAGGGTGCTGCAGCTGTTCCGTTTAAGTCAGAGCATTTCACCCTTCCTTATTTTCAGCACTTTGGCCAGTTGTAACTTCCCACATTAATGGCAGACCAACATAGCAAGATGCACCAACGGCAAAGACAGGGACCGGCACTAACCTATCGGTGTAAATAGAAACGTTTGAAAGGCAGCATCACCGTTTATCACAAACAGTGGTAGGTTTCCCACTGGAACCTACAAACTTTCCAGTAGTGAGCTCTTGACCAGATCCCTTTCTTGTGGAACAGGTCGCTCCCATACCAGTGTTAGCCCTATAACACTAGAATGCATGGCATGTCTGGTGGGTCATTACAGCAGCTCTCAGGATCCACAGCTAGGTAAGACTGATAATGGCTTTTACTCCCCAGCAGCCTGTGAAGCTCCTCTGGCAGTATGAAAGCTAAACAGTGGGAAGGAACAAGTTTACCTACAATTTCATTTCTCTGTGCCTCTTAACCAAACCGCACATTGTCTTCATCAGTATCATCAGTACAGTTTACCATCAGGTTCTGGTGGGTAAGCAAAAGGAATGACAATAGTATATGTTCTGATTTTATACCTTTTTGTATATCCCCTAATGTTGGCTACCCTTCTCTCCTCTGTTGTTTTTCATGTTCTCCGATCTGCTTTTTTGCTTAGTTCTTTTTGGCCCTAGAGTTTACCCTCCAGTTTCATGCCCAGTGTACTCTACTATCTCCAGTTCCCTCCCCCCACCCTTGTCTTCTACTGGCCTTTTTCTGTTCTGGCTTTTACTACTGCTCATAATTAAATACACTATTCTAAAACTTCGTGTTATGAGTACACATATAAGGGGAACATGTAGCATTTATCTGTGTCTGAGTTACCTCACTCAGTACAATATTTTCCAAATCCATTCCCTTTCCTGCAAATTTCACAATTTCATCTTTCTTTACCACTGAGTAAAATTCCATTGTGTATATGTAGCACCTTTTCCGTTATCCATTCGTCCACTGATGGGTTCTTAGGCTGGTTCTATTTCTTTGCTATTGCAAACATAGCCACACAAACACAGAAGTGCAGGTACATGTTTTGTAGGGTATAGGGTCTTCTGGGCTCATGCTCAGGAATTGTATAGCGGGATTATATGGCAGTTCTATTTTTAGCTGTTTGAGGAACTTCCCCATTGATTTCCACAATGGCTGTACCAGTTGACACTCCCACCAACAATGAACATGAGGTCCCCTTTCCCACACACACTTACCAGCATTTAGAGTCATCTTTTTTGGTAATAATTGTTCTTACTTGAGTAAGATTTAAAAAAAAATCAAAGTAATTTTAATTTGCATTTCCCTGATGGCTATATACTTTTAACACTTTAAAAAGTATTTTTAGCCATTGTTTTTTTAGCCATTTGAACTCTCTTTCAGTTCCACAGTCCATCACTAATGAAGTTGCTTGTTTTCTTGACCTTCAGTTTTTAAAGTTTTTTATGTATTCTAAACCCTAACCCTCTGTAAGTAAGCTGGCAAAGATGCTCTCCCATTCCATAGGCTGTTTCTTCACTTGAGTGACAGCTTCTTTCATGGTTCACAATCTTTTTCAATCTCACGAGCTCTCATGTAACCATTGTCTTTATTTCCCTAGCAGCTAGCATCTTGTTCAAAAAGTCCTACCCTGTGTCTACAAGGTT